AGTCTCAGTCCTGTGAAAGCTGTCGGGTGCTGACCGCCCAGGGGGATGGTGAACAAGGTCAGTTCCCATAGAACTTCCACTCCCAAAAGGGTGACTCAGGCTTCTAGGAACTCTCTCTGGCTACATCTCCCACCTCTGTACATGAAGCTGGAAGCCTGGGATGTGAGTCCAGATCCTGCCACTCAAGAGCCATGTAAGCTTGGGCGAGTCACCACGTCCCTGGGCCTGGGCTTCTCATCCATAAAATTATGCATTTGGACTTGGTGGCCCCAAGGCCCCTTACGGTTCTAATGTGGATCCGAGATGCCTTTCTTTTTCTTCTTTTCTTCCTCTTCTTTATGTGATGTTGATGTTGATGTTGATAATGTAAGTAATCATGCCTGACGTATTTTTCCTTCTCCTTACTCTTCTTTTCCTGTTTCTATTTTTAAACCCCAAAGCAAGGACTTGGTGGTGGAGGCTATCTTGCCTGAGAAAGGAAAGTGTGGCCAGTCAGGGATGTGGGAGACAGAAACAATCAGGCTGAAATTTGTAACCTTTGTGTTCCCCTGTGTCTCTCAGACCTTGTTCATCTTGGTCCCAGTTGAAACTGAGACTTGTCTTCCCACCAGATCTCCACTCATAAAATCCCGTTTGTGTGTAATAGCACTAGAGGGGGCAGTGAAGAGGCACATTTAGCATCTGTGGGCAAGCGGGGAGAGGAGACTGAGACTTATGTAGCACCTACTGTGTGCTAGCTTATCTTTCTAGTCAATAGCCACAAGAACCATCATGTCTTATTCTAGTATTTCAAAGGGGAAAACAAGAGTTCAGAGAAATTGCTCATTTGCCCAGGTTTTAGGTCATCAGGATGTGATAAATACTGGAATCGATCCTGGGTCTCTGACTCCAAAGTGCATGCTCTTTTTCCTTTCCACAAAGGCTTTCTTATACAATCCAGTAAATACAGACGTAAGGAGTTTTCTCCTTCAGGGAACTCATTCAAACAGGAGACTGCCAGGAAAGAGCAGTCTTTTTCCTCCAGAATCTATGATATAGAGGAAATTACAAGCAGTTCTGCCTGGATACGAAGGGGTGTATGGTTATGAGGATCTTTTTCTTCAAGAAAGCTGCAGCTCTCAGATCACACAGATTTAATTTTTTAATTCTTTTAGGATGGAAAGTAAAACATCTTTCTTAGTGACTGCCACAGAACTGTTCAGAGGGGCCATGCAGCAGGCCTTTGTATCTGCCTGTTTCCGCTCAGTCACCTCCCTACCTCCAAACCAGCCTGTATGAGGCCACCTTTAAATGATTTCCAAGCCAGGGGAATAAGATGTGTATATATACATGTATGCACACATGTGTATATTTATGTGTATATGTGTACATTAAGTACCAAGCACACACACATACTAAGCACAGAAATATCTTGGTTGCCAGGTAGATCTGATTTTGAGATTTAGTTTTTAACTCGGCATGCTGCATGCCTTTGGGAAACTCACTTGGTCTCTGTTACTTTGTAAAAATTATGGTGATTATTATAAAATAAAGTAGTACAATACTAATACTCTTTTTTTTTTTCCTAGTAGAAAATTTAGCATATCTCTGGATTAACAAGGAACTTGAAAGACCCAATTTAGGCATCATTAAAATTCTCCCTTGGTGCTTCCAACTTTCACCCAGCCAGGGCCAGAGCGTGGTGTGCATACCTCCTTGGTGTGCCTGTAACACACGAGCTGTGATTGTCTCTTCCTCGTTAAATTCAGAACACTTATATTTACAGTACACATATGGCTATAGATACAGATAAAAATTCAGTATATATTCCTGCCACCATGTCTGATACCTAGAGTGAGTACTGAGTGAGTGGGTTTACTTGACAGTGAGAAGCTGGTAGTCACTCCTAAGAAAAAGAAAAGAGAAAAAAGAAAAAGCAAGAGAAACCCATTCATCCACATCATTCATCTACTCCAGTTCTTCATCTTGAGCTCTATAGACAACATAAAGAGCCTTGGGAAGAAAATCTGAATTGCTCATGGGAGCTTTCCCCTAGGACCTGTAGGAAGAAAGAGATAGATTATTAGGTGGGAGGAAGTGAGCATCCTTGAATGGTCTAATGAAAGAACTCCTATAGTTTGATTTTCTTTTTTTTATTCTGTCTGTTACCTCTTAAGACTTGCCACCTCTCAAACATTGCTAAGTATGAGCCCTGTTTGATCCTGGGTCCATTAATTCTGGACTCCTCCTTCTCAACTCTATAGGAAAACTTCTGGCTTTTTACTCAAGGCAAAATGACTGGTGTACTAGTCTGTAAGCCCTATTAGGGAATTTCGAGTTGCAGAAGTTATTTTTCTCTTTTACAGTGAATAGAATGAATGGAAGGAAAATCTACTCAGCTTTGCTTAAGTGGCCTTGGTTGTTAGAGATAAATATTGTTATATCCTTTTTGCCTAATTATGGCTCGCTCCTTTCTACTTGCTTGCTTCTTTTTTTCCTTTCTACAATAATTTGCTGTTTTTGCCTCAGTGCCAATGAGTAATAGAGCGACATCATAGGACGTAATTTTCATGGAATGAAAAGACCTTTTACAGGAGATGTCTGAGCAGGAACTGAATATCCATCTTCATAAATGATTTAACAGAGACTTCTTATGACTCCCCAGGCTGACGTTCATAATTTTACATTTACCCACTTCCCACATCAAAAGATTTACTCCAATTAGGATCAGAGAAGAAACAGAAGGAAGATATGAAAAAGATAACCTCCAGGGTCATTTCTTCTGCGGATTGAAGAGCCTGTGTAATCCTATTGGCTTGGTTTTGAATTCTTCACATATATAGGAGTCTGGATGGTTGAAACTGTCTAACCACTTCATTGCAATTTTATTCATAATCTTGAATAATTAGAGAATAGCAAAATGTTCTGCATTGGGTGATTCATTAAACAAAACACAATGCATCTGTATAGTGAAGTATTGCACAGTTTTTACAAATTGCATTGCCACAGATCATTGCGACGTGAGGAAGGGTTTCTGTATAACACATATAAACTGCTATTTCAGCATGACCACAATTTTGATCACACACATAGCATAAAGGCTAGAAATAAATATGGGTTATAGGATTTAATGTTTTGGCATATTTTTCTGTGTTACAGGTTTTTCTTTCAATGATATTTCATTTATAATTCAGAAAATTCTAATAAATGTTATTTTTCAAAAACAAAATGTTTTTATCCTTAA